TCCGAGGGACTGGGCAACAAGCGGACCGGCTACCACGCCATCCAGCAGCGACTGGCCAAGATGAACGGCACCCAGTGCGGCTACTGCTCGCCGGGCATCGTGATGAACATGTACGGCCTGCTGAAGTCCAAGGGCGGCAAGGTCACCATGGCGGAGGTGGAGAACTCCTTCGGGGGCAACATCTGCCGGTGCACCGGCTATCGCCCCATCCTGGACGCCATGAAGTCCTTCGCCGTGGACAGCAACATCCAGGTGCCGGCTGAGTGCGTGGACATCGAAGACCTGAGCACCAAGCAGTGCCCCAAGACGGGCCAAACCTGCTCCGGCAGTTGCAAGAAGCAGCAGCCGAAGGGCAGTCAGCTGTATCCGGACGGCAGTCGCTGGAGCTGGCCAGCGAATCTGGGGGATCTCTTTGCCGCCTTACAGAGTGCAGTCAAGGATAAGCTCCCCTACATGCTGGTGGCTGGCAACACTGCCCACGGAGTCTACAGACGTCGACAGGATATTAAGGCATTCATCGATGTATCCGGCTTGGTCGAGCTCAAGGGCTACAAGCTGAGCCCCGACAACTCCTCCCTAACCCTCGGAGGCAATCTGAGCCTCAGCGAGACCATGGAGCTGTGCCGGCAGTTGGAGAAAACCAAGGGATTCGAGTACCTGTCCCAGGTGTGGCAACACCTCGATTGGATCGCCAATGTCCCAGTGCGCAACGTAAGTCAAATCAAATCAGAGTGGTGCTATCACCCGTAAGCCCTCCAGTCCTATCTAATCAGTCCCCTCAAAAATTGCCTTGAGTACACTTTGTTTATGAACATGATTTGCATTATTGCAGGCCGGCACCTTGGCGGGCAACCTGACCATCAAGCATGTCCACCCCGAGTTCCCCTCGGACGTGTTCATCGTTCTGGAGGCCCTGGACGCCCGTGTGATTGTCCAGGAGGCGGTGGACAAGCAGGAGACTGTGACCTTAGCCAGCTATCTTGGCGCTCCAATGGAGGGAAAGATTATCCGGGGTCTGATGCTGTCCGCGTACCCCAAGGAGCGCTTTGCATTCGACTCTTACAAGGTGAGTTTTATTGACAGTCAACATGGAGTGATGCAAGTGAATAGAGTGTCTTATCAATAAAAGTGCTAACAAGAGTTTATATTGCTATTTAATATTCCTAAATGCAAAAAGAGTATTGAATGCAATCTATTGATCCCTCTAAGACTTGATAAGCTTAAAGCAAGGCTTTCTAGCAGCATAGTAATTATTTTTTTTTTTTTTTTATTAATGGTCTTTTTCTCCACAGATTATGCCCCGTGCCCAGAACGCCCATGCCTATGTAAACGCGGCGTTTCTCCTGGAATTTACAGGGGACTCCAAGGTGAAGTCAGCCCGAATTTGCTTCGGAGGAATCAATCCCGAGTTCGTGCATGCCACGGCGATTGAGAAGTTGATCCTGGGAAAGAATCCCTTCGAGAACGGATGGGTGGACAAGGCCTTTGAACAACTTTCCACCCTGCTCCAGCCCGACGCCATTTTACCGGATGCCTCTCCCATCTATCGTCGCAAGTTGGCCTGTGGTCTCTTCTACAAGTTCCTCCTAAAGACAGCGGCCCAGCGCAAGCAGGGATTGGCCAGTCGATTCCTCACAGGAGGAAACCTCCTCGTAAGACCCGTGTCCAGGGGGGAGCAGAGCTTCGAGACCTTCCAGGAGCACTATCCGGTGACCAAGGCCACGGAGAAGCACGAGGGTATGATCCAGTGTTCCGGCGAAGCCACCTACGCCAACGATCTGCCCACCCAGCACAACCAGCTGTGGGCGGCATTTGTTACCGCCAAGAAGGTTGGCGCCAAGGTCACCAAAGTGGACACGAAGCCAGCTCTGGATCTGCCCGGAGTTGTGGCCTACCTGGATGCCAACGACATTCCGGGTCCCAACTACATTGGGCCCAAGATCAGGGATGACTTTTTCTTCGGCCAAGACGAGGAGCTTTTTGCCACGGGTGTGATTAGATTCTATGGCCAACCGGTGGGCATGATCCTGGCCAGCTCCAACGCCCTGGCCAATCGGGCCGCCGAGCTGGTGAAACTGAGCTACGAGGGCGAGGCGGAGGAGCTGCTGCCCACCTTGAAGCACGTTCTGGACCAGGTCGGATCCCAAGCTGGCAACAACAAGCGCATCGAGCAAAAGGTCAAGTCCACCATCGATATCCTCGAGCTGGAGGAGTCCTTCGACGTAAGTTCCTCCGGGCAGCTGGACATGGGTTTGCAGTACCACTACTACATGGAGCCGCAGACGACGGTGGTGCTGCCCTTCGAGGGCGGCATGCAGGTTTACGTGGCCACCCAGTGGATGGACCTCACCCAGGACATCATCGCCAACGTGCTCAACCTGAGGAGCAACGAGGTGCAGGTGAAGACGCGTCGCATCGGAGGAGGCTATGGCGGCAAGGCCACCCGCTGCAACGTGGCCGCCGCCGCTGCCGCCGTGGCTGCCCACAAGCTGAACAGGCCCATTCGATTCGTCCAGTCGCTGGAGTCCATCATGACCGGCTTGGGCAAGCGCTGGGCCTTCCACTGCGACTACGACTTCTTTGTGCAGAAGTCCGGAAAGATCTCGGGAATAGTGAGCCGATTCTTCGAGGATGCCGGCTACCTGTCCAACGAATCGCCCATTGGACACACCGTGATGCTGTCCAAGAATTGCTACGAGTTCAGCGACAACTACAAGCTGGATGGCTTCCTGGTCTACACCGATTCGCCAACTAACACCCCCTGCCGTGCTCCTGGTTCCGTCGAGGGCATTGCCATGATGGAGAACATCATCGAGCACATCGCCTTCGAGACCGGACTGGACCCGGTTGATGTGCGCTTTGCCAACTTGCTGCCCGCCCACAAGATGGGCGACATGATGCCGCGCTTCCTCGAGAGCACCAAGTACAGGGAGCGCCGGGCGGAGGTCATTGCACACAACAATGAGAACCGTTGGCGCAAGCGCGGACTGGGGCTGTGCATCATGGAGTACCAGATCGGCTACTTCGGACAATACCCAGCCACCGTGGCCATCTACCACAGCGACGGCACCGTGGTGGTCTCCCACGGAGGCATTGAAATGGGACAAGGTGAGTGTTTGGGTTGAAGGCCAATAAAAAACGCAGTCTTAAACTATGAATCTCCATCCGCCAGGCATGAACACCAAGATCTCGCAAGTGGTGGCCCACACCCTGGGCATTCCGATGGAGCAGGTGCGCATCGAGGCCAGCGACACCATCAACGGAGCCAACTCCATGGTCACCGGAGGAGCGGTGGGCAGTGAGACCCTCTGCTTTGCGGTGCGCAAGGCCTGCGAGACCCTAAACCAGCGGCTGGAGCCACTGCGTGAGGAGCTGAAGCCGCAGGACTGGCAGGCGCTCATCAAGGAGGCATACGACCGCAAGGTGAACCTCATCGCCAGCGACCAGTGCAAGCAGGGCGACATGGATCCGTACTCCGTGTGTGGCCTCTGCCTAACGGAGGTGGAGTTGGATGTGCTAACGGGCAACTACATTGTGGGGCGGGTGGACCTCCTGGAGGACACTGGCGAGAGTCTGAACCCCAACGTGGACATTGGCCAGATCGAGGGCGCCTTCATGATGGGCTTGGGCTACTGGACCAGCGAACAGGTGATCGTGGATCCCCAGACCGGCGAGTGCCTCTCGAATCGCACCTGGACGTATAAGCCGCCAGGAGCGAAGGACATTCCCACCGATCTGCGCATCGAGCTGCTGCCCAAGAGCCACAACAAGGCGGGCTTCATGAGGTCCAAGGGTGAGTTGGCACGATTGTGGTCAAAAAAACCAACCTAACTGGGATTCCTTTTCGTTTAGCTACTGGTGAGCCCGCCATCTGTCTGTCCATCGCGGTGGCCTTTGCCCTGCAGCAGGCTCTGCAATCAGCTCGCGATGACGCCGGCGTGCCCAAGTCGTGGGTGACCCTCACCGCACCGATGACGCCCGAGCACCTGGTCCTCCACTCCGGCACCGAGCCCAGCCAGTTCAAGCTGAACTAAGCGGAGCGGGAGTCGGAGTGAATGGCAGCGTATTCCAGAGCGTGGGACACGGCACGTGGCCGCGATGGGAACGCTCCGATAAGCACGCCCAGATAACCTGCACTTACACCCCCACTTAACCTGGCGGATCCGCCGACGGTAGCATAGACTAGCAGACATTGTGTTGTGTGCACAATAAATTAAAAACTTATCCAACGCTTAATCCAAATGACATTCATTGCGGCCCAGTCGACGGCCTGGGTCAACAGGAGCCCCTGTCCCTGTGCCTGTCCAGAGCTCCAGGCATTGGGAATTTACATTTTTCCGGGCTCGTTTTAATGCTTAACACCTCAACACCCCCACACCCGGACACACCCCGCGACGAGCTCTTCATTAATTTTAACATAAATTGTTGTATAGAAATTTTATGCCACGCGGAGCGTTAAGTTTGAGCTGGCCAGAAGAAGGGCGGAAGCGGTAAAAGTAAAAGTAAAAGGAAAAGGGGGCGGGGAAGAAGTTGCCTTGCGGTTGTGGCCGACGGACAGGCGTCTCTAATGGATTTTTCAAATATCACCAACTGCTGTGCTCTTAATGAGCACATCCCTAACAACATTGTTTGATTGACACACTCCACAGCCTTAACCGTTTCTATTTATATCGACTTGAAAGGCTTTAGAAGAAAACAGACACCCATTGTTTTTATTACAAAAGTTTCATATGGTGTACATAACAAACTTACTTAGAAAGGGTAACAATATCTCACGATTTAAGCTTTCAGGTGTGCAAAGACGCTGGAAACTATTGTATTACAAAATTTCATTAGAATTGTTTGAATATAATATTATGGGATATGGCATATAAATTTTGTGGAGCAGTTTTTCAGTTATATATTTTTCTTGGAAAAAAATTATACATACGTTTTAAGCTTTAGAGCGTAGCAATAAATAAGCGAACATTCTCAGTAACACTGGCATTCTTTGAACAAAAATGAAGCATTATTGGTTGATACTCGTAGCACTGCTCGAATGGAATTCCCTTGGATGGAGCGAGCTTATCGACTACTGTCAGATGCCCTACTGCGGAATGAATAACCTAGCCTGCAACAATCCATCTGTGAGCGGATAACCATAGCAAATGTAGAAACATAGCCCGTTTGATAGTTTGACCCAATAGAAATACAGCATAATGTGCCCGCCAAATGCCAGAACCATTTCCATGTCGAGATACCGAAATGCGATACTGAATGCCTTCAACGAGTTTCGCAACTATACGGCCAGTGGGCAGCAGAAGTATCTCAAGGCAGCCGCGGGCCGAATGTCCCGGCTAAGTTACTCCAACGATCTAGAGGATTTGGCCCGACTGGCGGTCATCACCTGCTCCGCCCACAAGTTCTGCCTTAGTTCGCCGGAGTTCTACTTCGTCGGAACCAATCTGGGATCCACCTCCTACCAGGGCAACTTGAACGACTACGAGGACCTCGAGCTGATGCTACGAACAATCCAGGACTGGACCAAATACGTGGACAACATCAATATGAAAATGGCCCTTTATATGCCGACTACGTTGGAGAAAAGGTATTCTCCATCAGAGAAGACACCCTCTTCAGAAACTTAAATACTATTTGCATCTCCTAATCATTTATTAATTCCAGTGGCACCGCCAAGGCCTTGCTGCTGTTAGCAGACCGTAATACCCACGTGGGCTGCTCGGCGTCCACTACTTCATCTTCGTGTGCACCTTCAGTACGGATCTTTTTGTGGAGCGGCCCGTTTACCGGATGTCAATTCGACCGGGAAGCGCCTGCAAGCGGCTTGATACCACTTATGTAGCACTCTGTGCCGTTGGGGAAAATTACGAAAATGAAAAGCCCTGGCCCAATGCTGCGGTCTTCCAGTTGCCCCTTGACATCTCCAAAGGTCGGCAAACTTATGTGCCGGCCAAGTAGACAACGCTTTAAGTAAACTTTTAAATTTGCCACACAAAAATGGTTTGAGTTTTGCCACCTTTTTAAGAGTGCTGATGGCTAGACAAAAGTACACGCCCCAGTGTAGCCAAACAAAATCTGCGCACAGAAACAAATAGTTAACACCCATGGACAAAAGGACGAGGAGAAGGAGGAGGAGCAGGAGCAGCAGGAACAGACATTTCAGGGCAGCCTCGATAATCACAGGACACATTTGCATATAAACTCGCTTCCGGGCTGATGTCCTTCGCATGCAAATGAAAACATTAGCGAGGCACACGCGCATCCTCATCCGCATCCTCATCCGCATCCGCATCTGCGAGATGCAGATACACGGACAGCGACAGATACAGATACAGATACTGCTACAGCTACAGATACAAATGACATTCGTCGCTGTCGCCTCTTCCCTGCTTAAATATATATTTCAATTAAAATTTTACACACGAATAAATGCAGAGCCACGCCCAGCACATTAGATGCCCCCGCGCGCGTGTCCTTCCGCCAAATCCCAGTCGCAATCCCGCCCAGTTCCAGTTCCAGTTTCAGTGCCACTTTCCGCCCCAACCACTTTTGATGATGCTGCGCTGGCAGTGTCCAACTTGTGTCGCTTGTTTATGAGCGTCTGAAGGCCACGAGAGCAGACACGGACATGGCCATAAAACGGTCCGAGGGAGTGGGAGGTGCCGTGTGGATGCGGATGGGGCTCGGGGATCAGTCCTGGCTGGCATCGTTGCATTCTGGGGCGGGCTCCAATGGAGCATGCTGCTGAATGTCCACGGAATTATTCAAAAGTTTCGCCAGGGCCAACAGTCAGCCGAGCAGATCCCATGAAGCGATGAGTTTGGCATTGTGACAAGATGAACTGGCTGTCCCAGAAGAGCCAATCATGGAGGCCTAGAGGGGAAGTGAAATTCGACATAAGCTGCTTTTGGGATGAACATGGGGGAAATTCGATTCCTACGGTCTTGATTTAAGTTCAGACAATAACTAGCTTAATGAAGAAAAATCTTTGAGAAGAGGTAGTCACAGACATAATGATCCTCAAAACTATATTAAGCTATTTAAAAGTCAGAAAGTCCTCATGACTACAGCTGTCTTATCCAGTCATTACTCTGTGTGTGCCCCTTTCTTATCCGGCAGTCTCTCAATGTCGCATTACGAGGGTTTCCATTTCCCGAGTCAACCATGAACTTGAACTTGCGACTGTAATAATAATAATAATGCAGATCCCGACTAACAATTTGTGCACCAACTCCACTCTCCACTTTCGGCTTTCATTTCTTTTTCATAGCCAGCGCATCCCCATTCCGTCCGTCTCCTTCTGTCTGCGGCCATTGTCTGGCTTGCATTTTGAAATTCTAAGCAAATTTGTCGACCCTGGGGAAGGGGGAAGGTGGGTGGTGGATCTGATTGCGGGGTGTGAGCAGGCGCAACATTTTATGAGCGTACCCGCGATGCAGCGAGTCAGATATGGCCAGGCAAACGTCTGCTGGGCGAGTACAGCTCCGTCTGTCCAACACCAACTGCTCCAGTTTCCCGGGCAACCTTTTCAATGGGTTTAACTCTTACACTCGAAAAAAATACGAACATTTTAAATCTAAAGTAAAATCCAAAATAATCTATTTTGAGCTTAAGCCACTAGGTTGGTAAAATTTATTATAATTTATAATTTAAATTAGCTCACTAGTAAAGGCTAGATATGTCAATGAAATAACATTTTTGGGTTCAACTAAAATCGAGTGAAAATAATTTTTCGAATAAGTGTAAATACCTGTTCGGCTCCACCTGTTTCACTTTCCAACCTTAATATATTCCTGTTAGGAGAAAAAATAAAATTTTAACCAATTTTTTTACAAGCTGTTTTCAAATGATAATTTCCAAAAAATAAAGTTTTTTTGAGATTTTGATTGCCGAGTTTTCGCTCGGTGCTGGTGGACTGCTGGTGGTCTGCAATGGTGTTGCGTCTGCTGCTGGCACACAAAGATGTCCCGGTGTGATTTATCGCCGGCAGAGCCGGGATAATGGCCACGTATTATAATATCTGGCGCGCCCACAGGGCGTATGCTTATCGGAGTCGACACCGTCGACAAGGACGGCGATGCGGCCGTCAAGGTCTAGACTCTAGACTCCTGTGGTGCAGCTGGTGGCAGCGCCAAGGATTTTCTGCCGCCCTTCCTCGCAGTTTCGTTTGCATTTCGCCAGAGCAGAGCGGAAAACTGCATGCAGTTTATTAAATAGGAACGGCACGGAAAAAGGAGGCTGCGATGAATTAAGTACATCATTTCGGGCTGGCGTGATTGTCGGCTGCCTTTGGCGCATATCCTGTGGGTAGGACACACTTGCATTGTCGAATTTCATGCCGCAGCGAATGTCTTCTCCGGCTCGGGCTCCGGCTCCTTCTCCTTTTCCTCAGCAGCTTAAATCGTGAGCCAAATACATAAAATCTACGCATGCATGTCTGCCTATCCCTGGGCATGTGTGAGTGTATCCTTTGCCGCATCCTTTTCCACTTAATGCCGACTGCATTGTGCCCAGATACACACATGGCTCTGCTTCGTATGTATTTGATATCATTAAAATTTTGAGCTTGCCACTGCAGTGGCAGTCGAAGAAGCAGCAGCACGAGCAGCTTGTCCTTGCCATTGGTCCTTCCCATTGTCCCTGGGTCCTTTCCATGGCCCATGATCCTTCGAGCGTCTGGCCAAACATGAATAGCAAAGTCTGGCAGTCGCCCCGAAAAAAGAACGAAAACTATGCATTTATGATATGTATTTTCAAGTTTATTTGTTCAACGGACTTTCCACTGCTCGAGCGGGTTAAAATATTTCTGCATGTATGCACAAGTCCTGGAAATAAGGAGAAATTCAGTTTGGATAAAGATGCCTTTCGTTGTCACAGCTTTAAAGTTTATTTAATGCTTAAGCTGTCGAAATAAGACCGGCTTTCGTTCATCAATACCTCAAAGACCAAGAAAAAGGCAACACGGCCAAAGTGAAGTTTAATTAAATTTAAATCCAAATGGGACTTAATATCCAGTCTGCTCGTTCATAATTAAAAAATACGCAGCATCCGATTTTTCAATAACCAAACCAAAGTGCCGCACAAAGGGGGAAGCCCAGAGCAGTCATCGCAGGATCCCCCTGCCAGGACGAGTATCCGATTCGGACGAGTGCGACTGATAGGCGACGACAAGGACATCGACGCCAGTTGCAAAGGACAAGCGGGCGTAACGCAATCTGTGGATGGGCAAAAAGGAATACGCAACCAAACGTACTGCCGCAGGACAATGATAGCAGAATGTGCTCAGTCCAACAGTCCACCAAAAAAAACTGTGTAAAAACCCACACAAAATAAAACCAATGTGGTGGTCATTTGCTTATATACCCTGTATAAAATTGAGCCATATAAGTGTACTACGTTCTTGAATATAGTTTGAAAGTCAACTGAGAAATGAACAATGCTTATAGGATTTTCCATATTTAACCTCACATACTCATATCAGTTTCAAATTTTACAATTTTACAACATTGAGATTTAAACTAATAACAAATAGTAGGTATGCAGCATATTCTTTTATATGCACATTTCTTAAATAAATTAAGAGGCAGTCAAAAGTCTACAACCGTGACAGCCTTACTAAGCCGCATTAATTGTTTTTCGTTTTTGCCCGGCTTTCTGAGTAAATTAAAAAGTAAATTTCAGCACAGAGGACGCATCTTCTGGTCCAGCCAATAATTCAATCAATTTATTTGCACTTTAATGACGGAATCGGCATCAATGGAAAGGGCTGGTTACTCGAGGGTGCATGTACTGCACACGCCATGACCGTAAAGCTTTCGCTGGCCGCCGGAGAAAGCGAGAATAAAAACGAAATCAATTATGTTGAAACTTTTTGAGCGCCAATACCGCTGGCTATGTTGTAATTAATACAAAATGCTCTGGCCCGAGACGGGAAACGGGGCTGATGAGGGTGGGGGGTGGGGAGGGGGAGTTGTATATCGTTATAGCCGGGGGCATGCCAAAAGTTGAGTCTTTGCCGCAGTGCCGTTGCCCGAAACTCAATTTGATAAAAATTTCATTTACAATTGCCGACGCTATCGTGGCATTGTGGCACGAAGGATGACCCCATCCCTGCTCCCCTCGAAAATGTGGGAGTGGACAGTTGGCCAGAGCTGGCAGGACTCGGCTCTGCCAATTGTTGTGTTTATTAATTTAATTTGACAGTCGCGAGTCCCTCGCACGTTGCCACTTCGCCTTGGGCCATTGCGCAGCAGCTGTGGACGCTTGTGGTTTTTCAAAAGGTTCTGAAAGGGGATTTTCTGGCGCTGGGGGAACGGCATCATCGTTTTGTGGCGTCTGTTGCGGTTGGCCTTAGTATCAGTTAAACCAACAGAGGGTTACCTCACTCCGGGCATTCTTGTATATTACCGATGGCAGGCATGAGTGGTTTATTCAATATCCGTTAACCATTTCCATACAGCCATTTGATAATCAGGCTCTAACTGCCATTTCATAATCGCAGAGGCAGTCATTTGAAGTCTCATTCAGCAGAACTGTTCAATAAATCAGCTGAACAAGTGGGATACTCAAGGGAAAGTATATTTAAAGATGCGAAGCTAAGTATACTCTTATAGTTGTTTACACTTGGACTTGTTTTAATATTTTTTTATCTTTAGTTTTTATGTATGTTTATGTATGTTTTAATGTTTAATGTTTTTAAAACCGTTTAAATATGAAGTAATAGAAATTAGAAGTAATTTTCATTTATTTTAAAGCTAACATTTTATGGTATTGTACAAAAATCTTGCACATTTAGACAACTTTAACAACATAGCCAACCATCCGTTCAGTTTTGTATTCCTTCAGATCTGCGGCTGTCTGAAACAGCGCACTTAGTTGTGAATTAACTTCGCACGTTTGCCGCATTGATTGGTCGGCATCGAGGTAGGTAGAAACCTGATAGCCAAGGCCTCATTCCTTCTTCCTTCTCCCGACCATTAACCAGAGTTAGTCCCGACCGGCTGGGCCAACACTCTTAGTTAAGCGGCGCATGTGGCTGGCACATTTGTCAACCGGCAGCGAAGTCGGCAAAACATCAACGCCAACGCAAACGCAGCAAAGCTGGGCAAAAACTTCAGCTGCCCGAGGAGCGAGTGTTAAATGGCAGATATAAATGCCCCATCCCCGCGGCCCACCTTTCTGGGCAATAAACAATTTATGGGTTTGGGAAGTCTCGCGCCGGCGACATGCGATGCATGCCAAGCGCCTTTGCAATTGCTGTCAATTGGCCTGGCAACATGTTGGCCGGGTCAAGACGGGCCAGCAAGATGCGACTGCGGCAACATGTTGGCATTTGGCATTGCATTTCAGTCCGACAACACCGTGAACTAGTTTC